CCTTTATGAACAAAACACAACAGTCAAATGTTACGTACTAAGAAACCACTCACCTGTCTAGACGGCAAACTGGACCAACACTCACCCTGTGCAGAGTTCTTTTAATAGCAGATTTCCAAGCAAAAGGAAATGAACCACCCTGACAAGAATGTACAAACCACAGCTCAGGAAAGCAAGATAAGACAACACCCAGCAACATCAAATTTTAAATTGAAAGGAATTCTTACCCAGCCAAAACTCCTAGATAGGTCATTGCCAGTACCAAGTGGAATGATTGCCACTGGTGGAACTGGCTCCCTTTCTGCTCTAATAAGTTCTCCAAGACATCCAAGAACCCAACCAACTGTACCATCACCTCCAGCAACCTGCCCATTGATAGCAGAAAAAAATCACTGTTGAATGTCTAGGTCCAATAAATACAGGAGTCCAGCAATGAGACAAAAACATCCCCCACCATGGGCAAATTTTGGAACACAGACAACGTGATTTGCAAGTGCATAACACAAAATTTGAAAAGTTAGCATGCTCAAATAAACATACCACAATTCTAATCTTTTCACGAGTCTCTTTGGCACAGTCGTCTCCACTAGTAGCTAATTTTTCAAGGCAACCCAATCCATAGAGGACAAATTCATTAGGCTTCACATCTAATAAGTCAAAAACCTGCGTTGCAAATTGCGAAATATACAATCAACAATATTACAAGAAACTTTCTAGAGAAATTCATGGAAAACTTCATAGTCATCAAATTTCCAAACCTAACTACAATTCTTCCAACTTACACTCGCATAACACAAACCCAAGCTAATCACAACCTGCGTTAAGTCATTAACATGACACCACCCCACCCTCCCGTGCTTGCCTAGAAGTAAAAGATGGATCAACACGGACACAACTAACCTTCATCCTCCACCCTCAACTCAACCACAGATGTTATACACCAGCTTTCAATTACCCTGATCCTACCTCTTCTAACTGACACCCAGTTGAATTTTATCAACAATAGATCCTCTAGTACCCACATTTTTTTTGGCACAGACTTGTATGCCTGCCTTCCTACCTACACCCGTTATGCCCCACCATACAAATTCACGACATGCAAAATAAAAAGTAGAAAAACGGGAACCTGTTCTTCGCTCATCAACTGTTGAAGGCGCTCCTTAAGGACAGGGCCATGACGTCCTCCGCTGCGCGGATTAATGAACACGACCATTGGCGCCTCCGGAGGTGGAATCTCCCCGGGGCCCCGGAGTTTAAAATGCTGGTCCCCCGCATCAACATCCTTGCTCTTGATCGCTTCCCGCATCGCAAGCCGCAAGTACTCCGGCATGAGGAGCCTCTGCCTGAGCTCCTCCCTGTCCACCCTGATCCCCCCCAGCCCCGACAGCGCGCACCCCTTTATCGATTCTATCATCGACGAGCGCGCAATTATCCGCGCCGTCGATGATTCCCCAGGCGAATATGGCGATTCCATCTCAACTCTTTCCTCTTCCCTGACAGTACACCACCAGATGATCAAATAAGACGACAGAAACGTCCGTGGGGCCCGGCGATGTAAAGAGAAAAATAAAAAGTGCGTGTGTCGGTACTGTTTTGAGTATATAGATTTTGCGGGATGGGGGCGGGCAAGAAGGAGGAGGAGGAGGATGGCGGAGGATAATTCGATTTGAGAAAACGGTGTCCTGTTAATCATTGTTGATTTGTGAAATATTTAAACTGCCCTTCCAGCAGCCGTTAATTACTTAACTGCCAGCTGTGTTGGGATTAACTTCTTGTTTTTTCTGTTTTTTGGGTTTTGTTCCCCTTTGCAGATTTCTTTTTTAACTTTGTTGTTGTTTTCGTTGTTGTTTTTCTTTTTAAGGGAGAAAGAAAACAAATAACAAAAAAAGATTCTGTTTGTTTTATTAGCTAGTTTTAGCCTTAAAAAGTTTGCTTTTCTGTAAATCAACTGGATAATGCATTTTGTTTGATGAGGAAATGAAAAAAAATAATAAAAGTAGTATTATATTTATAATATTATAAATTGATAATTATAATGTGATATTAAATGGATATGATATGATATTGAATGAATA